CCAGAGTGCTCCTTGGAGGCCAGGATGGCCAAACTTCATCTCTCATACTTCGGACATGTTGTCAGGAGTGACCAGTCTCTGGAGAAGGATATCATGTTTGGTAAGGTGGAGGGTCAGAGATAAAGAGGAAGACCCCCAGAGAGATGGATTGGCAATGTGGTAGCATCAGTGGGCTCAAGTGTGGCAACAATAGTGAGGTTGGCCCAGGACCAGGCAGTGTTTCGTTCTGTGTATAAGGTCGCAGTGTTTCGTTCTGTGTATAAGGTCACACTGACTCGATGGTGCCTAAAAACAAAACAACAACAAAAGCTTTACAGGCTCCAAAACCCTATGCAGGGTCACGATGAGTCAGAACCAACTCCATGGCACTTAACTCTCTCTCTATATCTATATCTATATCTATGGATCGATCGATAGATATAGATATATAGATATGAAGCTCTGGTAGCGTAGCAGTTACGAATTGGGCTGTGAACCTCATGGTCAGCAGTTTGAAACTACCAGCTGTTCCACGGAAGAAAGATGATGCGTTCTGCTCCCATAAAGATTTACAGCCTCGGAAACCCTGCACAGGGTCGCTATGAGTCGGAACCGACTCCACGGCACTTAACAACAAACATATATATATATATATACATACAGAGAGAGAGAGAAAGTTATATAGAGAGAGACATGTTGTTGCTAAGTGCTATCGAGTTAAATCTGACTTATAGGGACCCTGTACAGAGTTTCCCAGAAGCAGCTGGTGAGTTTGAACAACTGACCTTGTGGTTCAAACCGACCCTGTGGTCCAGAGCTTTATCCCACAGCACCATACCAGGATTCCTATATAAGTATATATACATAGGTGTGGTGATAATATTTATGTGCTCTGACTCATAGTGACCCTGTACAGGGTTTCTGAGACTGTAAATCTTTATGGGCGCAGAAAGCCTCATCTTTCTCCCGCGGAACAGCTGGTAGTTTCAAACTGCTGACCCTGAGAGTCGTGTGGCACTATAGGATATGCACTGGACCGCAAGGTCGGTGGAATTAAATGACACTGGCATTTCTCCCTGAACTTTTGAAGCTCCCTCACATATAGTCAATAAAGGAGTTCTGAAAACCAAGTGATAGACGAGTCTGAAAGGAGAAATTGAAAGCAAACACTTGCCATGCATATGGTACATGCAGCTGTCTATACATAAGCATACATACATTATATATTTTCTGAACACAGAAATGAACAAGGATAAGAATAGAAATATGACTTTCACATACCTTGCCTTTCCTGGGGTGAGTGTCTGGGTAGCACCTCATGTGTACATCAAGTGCTGCAGGGCCCAGGACCAGGCCACTTACCCTCTGCTATCAGGACGCTTACCATGGGCCATGGCAGCTAACACTAAAGCTCTTTAGCAGCCAACAAATGTCTGACTTAGAAGAGGCCTCAAGTCCTTCCTTGGAAGTAGTCCTGGCGGCACAGTTGTGAAGTGCTCAGCTTAACAAAAAGGTTGTAGGCTTCAGACAAGATTTACAGCCTTAGAAACCCTCTAAGGCAGCCCAACTGTGTCCTACAGGGTCACTACAAGTCAGAATTGACTTGAAGTCAGTGGGCTTATTTTTAAATTCCTTGGGAGAAATGATAAAAAGAGCTTTTGGCACTAATTGATGGTTAAGCCACCAACACAAGGCAGTTACAACTTTCCAAATGAAAAGACAAAATCTGCTGTCGCTTGGAGAGGGACTCGGGCTCCTGAGCAGAGGTGGCAGAGAAGCAGCGGCACCCCTAGGACTATTAAATGGGGCCTAGTAGCCCTGTCAGTGCCAACGCCAGTCTGGGAAGAGAAGTTTCATTTGGGGAGACATGCTTTTCATGGCTACGAAGTGGAGTGTGTCAGGCCTTTTAGGTGAGGCTGTCTCCACTCCTGGGAGGAGAGCTAGGAGGCTGCACAGAGCAGAGCAGTGGTAGGGAACAGGGTGGCCGGTCAGGGTCACTCAGCAGCCTGGACATTCAAGTCTGCTGAAAGAATTCCGCTGTCCAACAAATCAGCCCCATTGCTGTCAAGCTGATTCCGACAGAACAGAGTAGAAAGGTCTCATCAAGCAGCTCTTCCTTCACTGACGCACACTGCCACATCTTCCTCCCATGGAGTAGCTGCTGGGGTTGAACTGCCAACTTCTTGGTTAGCAGCCAAGAGTTTAACTATTGGAGACGGCACCATGTCTCCTCCAAGTGCAGCATCAGAGCTATAGGCTGGGGGTTAGCAATGACTGTGAAGGTCATGGAGTGGGGGCTGGGCCTCAGGTAGCAGGAACAGCACTGCCGGGTGTGTGTGTGTGGGGGGGGGGCTCCAGATGAAATATCAGGGAGCTCTCCCCTCCCTCCTGCTCCTGCTCCCCAAGGTTGGTGTGACCTCTGCACTGTTGTCCCTTCTCACTCAAAACTGATAACATGGGGGGCGGGGGGATAAATACTACCCTTAAAGTCAGAGACAGACTTTTGTCCCAGGTGTTGTAAAGATTCAGCCTTCCACGTGGTAAACTCATGTGGTGAACGTCTATGGAAGCTCATGATGCCCTTTGTACCTATCAGACCCTGACAGACAAGCCAGAGAAGGAGTGGGCAACATTAATCCCAATGCCCAAGTTCTGTACTCACCAAAAGCCTTCTGGCAAGTTCTTTCTCTGCTCATGCAAACAACCAACAACAAAAAAATTGTTTAAAAAAGCTTTTACAATGTTGACTTTTTTGAAATTCCAAAACATTCTCAAGAAATTAGAGGGAAACCCTGCAATATCTTTTCCTATGCACAGTGTTTTGAAATTAACAAAACAGTGTGCTGTTAAGCGGATTCCGACTCATAGGGTTTCCATGAGAGGCTGGTGGGTTAGAACTGCTTACCTGGTGGTAACCATTCCAGCACTTAAGCTACAGTGTCACACTAGGACTCGGTTAGCCAACAGAACGATTTAGTCCTTTATCCTACTTCAGCCATCGTCATGGGTGGCTATTTACTCATAGCGACCATCTAAGATACAGGAGAACGGCCCCAGACAGTTTTCAAAACTGTAATCTTTCCTGCCACATCTTTCTTCCCACAGTGCAGCTGGTGGGTTCAAACTGCCAGTCCTTTGAGTAGCAGCTTGGCTTTTAACCACTGTGCCACCAAGGTTTCTTTATCTTTCTGTCACTGTGCCAATGTGTAAAGTAAATACTCTTGCTAACAAGTGTTGAACTGACAACTAAACCAAACAAAACAGTAGGCAGGAGAGTTTTTAAGTGGCTAAGTGAAAAGAACTTAACATAGCACAAGGATATGAACCTCTTCAAACCCGAAATTGTGTCTAGTTCTGGGAATGAACAAATAAACGAGGATCTTAGTACTCCCACCAATTTTAAAGGAGCTCTGGTAGCGTGGTGGTTACAAGTCGGCCTGCTAACTTCAAGACCAGCAGTTCGAAACAATCAGCCGGTCAGTGGGAGAAAGATGAGACTTTCTGCTCCGGTAAAGATTTACAGCCCCAGAAACCCTATGCAGGATCACTATGAATCGGAACCGACTCCTCGACTCATAACCATCATGCTAAGACCACTGATGCAATTAAGCCTTAAACCTTGTACCTTTATTTGCACAAGCGTCTGGAATTATCAGTTAACATACTCCTATTTAGCACCCGAAGCATTTTTCTTGGTAAAATTATAAGGCGTTTAATGGAATCGTGGCTCCGCTGTTGTTCAAAACAGGAATTAGGTGAGGAATTTCAAATGCTGAAATCATTCTTAAGTCACTGAAACAATACATCTCCAAAACCTTCCCTTTTCTTTTTAAGTGACTATACGAATGTAATTAAAAACTGTTTCTAAACCTGACTACGATCCTACAGCTTAAAAAGAACTACAATACAACAAGCTTAAAACCGGTTATGAAAGTAGGATCCATAAGTGCGTCTTTTCTCATGCAACTAATTCTTTGTTTGTTTAAGTGGCTTAAGTTTCAGTTTGGGAAATGTTCATGGGTCACACACATTTTGAGGAGCGCTACCTGTCTGTTCTGGGCAAAACTACTCAAGTTCAACATCGTTAGAGCACGGTTCGCTGTATTTGAAAGGCAAGTTAACAGGTTTATATGACTCAAGTTCGCTTAAAATACACAAGCACCAAAAAGTCACCTTGGCATGAACGTAACTTAAGGAATCGGCCGCGCGCTTGGCATTTTGGGGGCGCTCCGAAACAGGGGAGATGCTCGCCAACGTTAGGCAGGGCGGCAGATTTCGCGGGGATTGTTTTTCTTTTTGGGGGAAGCACTAGGCTGAGCGGGGACGGGACCGGCGCGGGCCGCAGCCCTCTCTGGGACCCACCTGACCCGGGTGCCGCGAGAAGCTGTCAGCCGCCGTCCAGCCGCGGCCCCGCGCGCTCCCTGCCCCGGCGCCCCCAATGGTCCCCGGAGCCCACGCCGCGGCCTAGCGCTGCCCGCCCGCCTCACCTGCGCGGCCGTGGCGCTTCTCCCGTCGCCGGTCGCTCTCGTAGAAGCCCAGCGTCTCCGTGTGCTGAGGCGCCGAAGGGGGCCCGTGACCGCCGCTGCTACCCGGCTGCTCCGCTTCACCGCGGCCGCCCCGCTCCGGACCGTCCGCGCCGCCTTCTCCCGGGGCGGC